CGGCCTCCAGCAGGGACAGCAGGCTACTGGCCGGTGCGTTAGGCAGTCGGTACACTAGCCAGATCGCCAAACTCTCCACGGTCCCCAGCGCCAGGCCAACACACTCCATGCCCGCAATCTCCATCGGGGGGAGCGCCCTGACGGAGTAAGCCTCCCGAATGAACATCGCCACTCCCCCCCGCCCCTTAGTCCGTGATTGGTGTAGGGCTATCCAATCATACTCCAAAGAGTCTACCTTCAGCCCAAGGAACCTTCCTCCATTGGAAGAGCCACTTAAGTTGAAGGAAGTCTCCTTAGGCCAGAGGTAATCTCCATCGGGGGGAGCGCCCTGACGGAGTAAGCCTCCCGAATGAACATCGCCACTCCCCCCCGCCCCTTAGTCCGTGATTGGTGTAGGGCTATCCAATCATACTCCAAAGAGTCTACCTTCAGCCCAAGGAACCTTCCTCCATTGGAAGAGCCACTTAAGTTGAAGGAAGTCTCCTTATGCCAGAGGAAGTCTGCAGACTATTCTCAGTGGGGTGATAGGATAGGGGTAGGATCCACTCCCATGACTGTAATGTGTGAAATGGCTTGATGTAAAAACAAGTGGTGAATTAAATGGGTTGAGGGGAAACAGGAAGCATGGATATGTTTTTTTTTAATGATTTCTGAAATACCCCAAACCCATAAAGTAGTATTGCTTGTGTTCTTTGTTTTTCTTGTACAGGTGACTGTAGCAGAAAATTTGTTATAGCTGCTTTTGTAGCAGCTTATAGGAAACATTTTATATAATTCATATACCTACTTTTTCCTGTTTATTTTTATACTAACCTGATTCCTGTGCTTCGCTACAGTATTTAAGTTCCATAATTTGAAATGTGACATTTGTTGTAGGAATTCTAACAGAGAACACTGTAGTGTAAGAAATGAGGTGAGACATGTGTCCTTTTTTCTGTACTGAAGGACCTCTCTCTAGACCACATTGGTGGTACTGCCCTCAGGTGCTAGGATCACCAGGCTGCTTGATGAGCTCACTCTGGAGCAGACCACATAGAACTGTCCATTTAAGAAGTAGTCGTCATTTAAGAAGCAGGGGTCATGTTTCTCAGAAATCTCTTCATGCGGGGGTTTTGGGTTTCTTAGTGCAGGGGTTTGGCCTGGGCATTGAATTTGGGGGGAGAACATACACCCCCCCTTTTTTATACAAAAATGCTTCTCATTTATGTTACATTTTAGAATTGGGACATAACTACATATTCAAAACACCGTCCGAGCAATCAGATATTAAGCAAGTTCATATGAACCAGTTTTCTAGAACCCACATTGTGAGAAATTAAATAACTTAATAAAGGAAACCAGTTTTCTACAAATTTGGATTTCCATTGTGGGTGTGAGTGTGGCTAAAATGGGCTAAGATGATCCTGCTGGGGTGGTGTCCCTGATGGATTAAAGTACCCTGGTCCTGCTCCTACACCTGACAGACACCAGCCTGTCTGGTGTTGGGGGGGGGTTATATTTAAAGGCATCGGGGAGGCTGAGCCAGCAGCAGGTATAAGGAAAGCTCCCCGGCAGCTGTAAGCATCCCACCTCCTCTCCTACACCTGACAGGCAGCTGCCTGTCCAGTGTAGGAGTGGGAGGGGGAGGAGTATTAGAAGCCACTGTGGAGGTTGGGGCGGGCTCCCTCATGGCTTTAAGCACTGTGGAACTGCTGCTGCACCTGACAGACAACCGCCTGGTAGGTGTAGGAGGTTCGGGAAGTGTGTTAAAAGCCATCCAGGAGGCTGGGCCAGCAGTCTCTGATGGATTAAAGTACCCTGATCCTGCTCCTACACCTGACAGACACCGGCCTGTCTGGTGTTGGGGGAGAGTGTATTTAAAGGCATTGGGGAGGCTGGGCCAGCAGCAGGGCTAAGGCAATACTGCTGAGCAAAACTCCCCGGCAGCTGTAAGCATTCCACCTCCTCTCTTACACCTGACATGCAGCTGCCTGTCCAGTGTAGGAGGGGGAGGATTATTAAAAGCCACTGTGGAAGCAGGGCTGGCAGGATCACTAAGGCATTACTACTGGGGCGGGCTCCCTCATGGCTTTAAGCACCGTGCAACCGCTACTGCACCTGACAGACAACCAACCACCTGTTAGGTGTAGGAGGTGGGGGGAGTGTGTTGGAAGCTATCACTGAGGCAGAGCCAGCAGCATTACTGCACCTCACAGGCAATGCTCCCTCTAAGCTGTGGAGTCTTGTGAGCAAAAATTCTACTTTGTGAGCTACTGGCATTAATGTTGTGAGCAAGCAATTTGGCTACTGCATAAATTAGTTTGCTCTAGAGCCATCCTTCCTGAGCTAAGACAAAAATGTGTGAGCTGCAGGCTAACAAAATGTGAGCTAGCTCACACTGACTCAGTTTAGAGGGAACACTGCTCACAGGTGGTTGTTGGCCATTCCTGATTTCCTCAACTGTCATTAGCTCTGTGCAGTCTCCTGTAACTGTTGTTTTTACCTCAGAACACTGAGCTCTGCAGCTGACCAATCAGAGAGTGGGGGGTGCAAGGAGGCAGCAGCCTGGCAGCCGCATAGGAATCAATGGGGGGAGCATATTTTACCCCTTTTGACCCACTTAGGGGTCGAATTTCTAATAATCCCTTCTTAGTGAGCATCTACGCCATGGTAGGAGCACTCTCCCCAAATTTGGTGTTTCTAGATCCATAGTAATAGTAAAACAAGCTATGAAAACAACATTAAGCAGCTCAAAATGATATCCATAAAAAGTGGTCAAGCTAGAAGCAAAACATAAAAAACCAGCTTTAAAAGATAGGCCAACAAATGTTAGATGTATTCATGTTTTGCCATGGAATAAAGGCAATGGCAAAACCAAGTGAAGATAAGTGAATTCTTGTTTAGATGTGCATAGATTTCGTAATCAATCAGCTTGGGAAACATCCTACCTTTTGAATATAAATGAACACAAACTCTCAAGACAATGCAAATATGGCCATATGTCTGTTCTGGCAGAGTAAACCTTTATATCATTTTTTTTTCCTCCGAGAATATACTAAGAGCAATTATCCATTACCTGTAACCATTAATCACTCTCTTTAAACTGGAGCGCTGACTTCATTAGCATTATGAAAGCAAAACAGGGCAGAATGAAGCGTCTGTTTATAGCCATCTAATTTATTGCAGAGAAGCATACAAATTTTTAATTTGTAGTACTTCATCTTCTAATTTCCTCCAGCCAAGCCAAGCATTTTAAGGAGGATCCCAAATTATGGTCCAGAAAGGCATACAAGACTTAAACTTCTCTCTAGTTCAGTGTTCACTAATGCTGGTATGGCTGTGACTCAATCAAACGTTGTTCATAGTATGCTACATGTAGTGAAGTAATGTCTACCCCCAGCCGCTGTTACCAAGGGACAATGATGCTGAGAACACCCAGTTTATTCCAGCAGTGATGTCTTAAATGCAATATAGCTGTATACAAAACACAGGAAATGCTTGGAGTGCCTAAGTCACATGCTGCCCCCACAAGATCCACCCCCCCATTTCTATAAAATACAGCTATCTTGCTCAGGGCACTGAATCATAGAGTTGGAAGGGACCTCCAGGATCATCTAGTTCAACCCCCGCACAAGGCAGGAAATCCATAACTACCTCCCCCCCACACCCCTATTGACCCCTGCTCCCTGCCCAGAAGATGGCAAAAAACCCCTCCAGGATCCCTGGCCAAACTGGTCTAGAGAAAATTATAGCATTGGAAAAAGTGCAGAAAAGGGCAACTAGAATGATCAAAGGGCTGGAACACTTTCCCTATGAAGAAAGGTTAAAACGCTTGGGGCTCTTTGGCTTGGAAAAATTATGGCTGAGGGGTAACATGATCAAGGTTTATAAGATTATGCATGGGATAGAGCAGGTTGAGAAAGAGGTGCTTTTCTCCCTTTCTCACAATACAAGAACTCGTGGGCACTCAATGAAATTGCTGAGCAGTCAGGTTAGAACAGATGAAAGGAAGTACTTCTTCACCCAAAGAGTGATTAAGACATGGAATTCACTGCCACAGGAGGTGGCGGTGGCTACAAGCATGGATGGCTTCAAGGGGGAATTAGATAAGCATATGGAGCAGAGGTCCATCAGTGGCTATTAGCCACAAGGTATAGATAGGAACTCTCAGTCTGGGGCAAGTGATGCACTGTATTCTTGGTGCTTGGGGGGGGGTCAACAGTGGGAGGGCTTCTAGTGTCCTGGCCCCACTGCTAGACCTCCTGATGGCACCTGGTATTTTTGGCCACTGTGTGACAGAGTGTTGGACTAGATGGGCCATTGGCCTGATCCAACATTGGCTTCTCTTATGTTCTTAACAATGTTCACAGAATCAGCATTACTGTCAGATTGCCATCTAGCCTCTATTTAAAAACCTCCAAAGAAGGAGAGCCCACCACCTCCCGAGGAAGCCTGTTCCACTGAGGAACCACTCTAGCTGTTGGGAAGTTCTTCCTAACGTTTAGCCGAAAACTCTTCTGATTTAATTTCAACCCACTGGTTCTGGTCCAACCTTCTGGGGCAACAGAAAACAACTCCACACCATCCTCTATATGACAGCCCTTCAAGTACTTGAAGATAATTATCATATCACCTCTCAGTTGTCTTCTCGCCAGGCTGGGACAGGAAACGTTCCCTGGTGGGTGCTTGTCCCTCCTGCCCCCCCCCCCCTAGAAGATCTGTTGCAATATTTTCATTGGAAAAACCACTGAAGAAGAAAACGTAAAATGCTCCTCTCCCATCAGCACCCTTTTTGTGGGTCTTCTTAGCGAGATTATAACTTCCAGCACTGCATTTTGCTTTTATAAAAAACTCACAGATGTGAGTAAAAACTACACACATGGCATCATGTGGCCCTTGGATCTTGGATCCTATTGAAAATGAGCCATGAAGTCCTTGGGCTTGTATGTGCCAACCATTGTCCCCTCATGAGTAAGTAGAGGTTGAAGACTTGTTGATTAGGAAAAACTTGATTTTGTTTTGTCATCTAAATCAGGCAAAATGACAAACTCCAATATATTTCCTTACTTACAAACCGGGAATTCTAAAACATCATCTCTCCCCCCCCTTTAGAAGTTTCAGTTTGTAGGCATGAGAACAAATTTGTTGGTCATTTCTCCTGCTTCAGATGTCACAATGAACTTACTGGTTGTTCCAAACCACTGATTTTTCCGTTTCCAAGCTGCATACAGAGGGAGGGAATCCAGCTTATTCTTATCATGAAAAAACCAAGATTTGTTCATGTAGCCATTGGATGGGATCAGTGTTCCCTCTAAGCTGTGTTAGTGTGAGCTAGCTCACAGTTTTTTAGCCTCCAGCTCACATGTTTTTGTCTTAGCTCAGGAAGAATGGCTCCAGAGCAAACTAATTTATGCAGCAGCCAAATCACTTGCTCACGACTTTAGTGCCACTAGCTCACAAAGTAGAATTTTTGCTCACAAGACCCCACAGCTTAGAGGGAGCAATCGATGGGATCCTACCATCCATGTGCAGAAGGAATTTGTGGAAGCAGATATCCCTCTCTCTTCCCACTCAGTATCTCCTGTGGTGAGCTGCTCAGAGGAAGGGTGGGATAAAAATATGGAGATAGTCCCCAAAAGCTGTTGCTGAGATCCTCTAAACAAAATGTCAAATGGTGTGGGGGGGCTGTAATAAAGGGGGGGATAGGATGGAATCATTCTCACCCTTTACTCTTACACTAGTAGAATAAGACCACAAGCACAAGAGAAAGCAGAAGTCCCCTCCTTAACATCGTGCCCCTTCAACTTGGCATATTGTTGAGGGCAAAAGCCTTTTCAAGGTATGCAATGTGGTGCTTGTGCATTTCTTTCCATGTACCGATGATAGGATCCAAGCACTTGTGGTATATCTCATCCATGTCCACACAACTACCTGAAGTTTGTTAGTGTTACTACCATTTTCAGGATGTAGAACTGCTTGGCTACTATGACTTTGTTGGAAAGATATTTGAATTTAGGTCCAAGGCCCAAGGCTGCCCTCTCATTTGAACCATACTGACGTCTTAGTTCAGCATGACTCATTGGCTGGAATCTCTCATGGTCAGGAAGTCTTACTCTGAAAGTTCACTTTCGTAGACAGTACCACTGACTTTTCCTAGCTTTTGAACAAGCTCTAAATTGTTCTGTAGGTATTAATAGCACAAGATTTTCTGACTTCTCACCCTGAGATACCATACCTGGTAGCAGCTGGGTTTAATATTGCTACTGCTGTCAGCTATGCTTCATTCATGACACTTGATCTGAGATTGACTTCTGAAACTGTTGTGTTTTGTTTTTTTTTAAATTGACTTTATGTAGTAAGCAAAGAACAGATGTCATGTTTGGACAGCCCCCTTAAAATGTTTACTCCAATGGATTGAAAATTTGGCAGAATCACTAGGAAAATTGTTTTTTATTTAAATCCAACTGCCTGAGAACATAACAACATCAGCTAAAGGAGTCACATAAATCTGCAAGAAACTAGAAGTGTAGAAATGTCGGTGAAGGCTCAGCAATGGGAATGGATTTTTTAAAACAATTTAACCCTTTTGCTGCCATATTACTTTTTTCCAGCACAATACTAATGATTTTAAATAGCATTCAGATCTAAAAAGAAGCTTGTGAGGCAGGTTTGTAAATTAGAAATGATTGCCTTGTTCTAAGGGATATGGTATAAGAACAGAGAAAAACAGAGATTCAGAGAGAGAGAGAGAGAGAGAGAGATAGTTATGTTTCAGAGGCTTAGAGAAAGTTGAATACTAGGGAAATGTTTGTATAAGTTCGTGTTTTTCTAAAGGTGACTTGAGAAGTTATAAAAATAAGTATAGTGGAAAAAATAACCTGCAATCACTAATGGTTTAAAGTGCAGGCTAAAACATACCATATACTTTTATACTTTTGCTGGTTTCCATGTTACAGAAAGGCATTCATGAATGGAACTTCTCTGCTGATTCTATAAGAGGTGTAAGGTAAGGTTATTTTTTTCCCTATCTTCCTGACACTCCATCACAATATTATCCCTTCCTCTGTGTGATTGGTTAGACTGAGAGATGGAGTCAAAGTAAACAAGATTCCGGATGATATGTGAAAGGATCTCCAACAGATTGTAATTATAGTTATGTGGTGGGAGGTTGGAATTTGAATTGGGATTGCACAAGGGGAGTAAGTATATCTTGCATTTTCCCCTGATTTCCAGGGTCTCAAACAGCACCCAGTTTTATTTGCCTCGCTGGGAGGCAACACCCAGAGAGTCTCCATTTTCCCCCCAGTGGAAAACTGGAGTCTGGTTGTGCTCTACTCACTGATTCCATGTATTAATATGATAAGGGCAATGGGCTCTTTTTGTAGCAGGAACTCCTTTGCATATTAGGCGACACACCCCTAATGTAGCCAATCCTCCAAGAGCTTACAGAGCTCTTCTTACAGGGGCTACTGTAAACTCTTGGAGGATTGGCTACATTAGGGGTGTGTCGCCTAATATGCAAAGGAGTTCCTGCTACAAAAATAGCCCTGTAATAATATCACGTAGGGTGACATACTTGGATACAGAAATTGCGAAGAAAAAGTTAATGGGAAGGGAAGGCAGCAATATTGGAACAGCATTGTGCATTGGGAAAAACAGAAACATGAATCCCTCCTGTAGAAACTGTAATATTAAAGCCCTTTTGTACGTTTAGCAGAATGAAGAGGGAAATCTTGTCCTACCCTGTACTGCTTTAGGCTGCAGAGTATGTGTGTAGGGGAGAGGGGGAAATTGCATGGCTTGTTTGTTCACTTCATTTGTACCCTACCTTTTTCCACAGTGGAGACCCAAAGCTTCTTACATCATTCTCCTTTCTTCTGTTCTATCCTCACAACAACCCTGTGACTTAGGTTCAGCTAGGTTAAATGTATGACTGGCATAAAGTCACCCAGCAAGCTTCCCTGGGACAGTGGGGGTTTGAACTGGGGTCTTCCATATCTTAGTCCAGCACTCTTAACCACTATGTCACACTGGCTCTCAATAATGAGAACATAACTGGTACACTGAGGACAAAACTATACTGAACTCTCTGCCTGAAGTGCCAGCTTTCTAGAGGTTCCCCATTTCCCCCTCCCTAAGGGCCTATTCAATATACAGTCTCTGCTTACAGCTTGAATATAGTCCAAGAAAAGATTCTGAGTTAAACTACCCATTACGTGGGAGATCAATGAGTGGATCTCTTGAATATGATGAGGACCAATTTGGTTCATAGCCATAGCATGGAGGGAGGGGTAATTCACCCCCCCCCAATTAGGGATACCGTTCCCCAGGTGGGGGTGGGGAATCTCCTGCTTTTGCAGGCTCCTGCCTGCCGCTGGCCAGCTGGCTGGTAGAAGGAAATTCCCCCCACCCACTATGCTGTGCATAACACGCTGATGTCACCCAGAAGTGATGTCAACGGGTTAAGGGACGCGACGCTCTATTTTTTTGGGGAAACTATATGGTTTGAGGCTGTTTTTACCATAGAGCTTTGCCAAAAAAACCCAGAGTGTCGCCCTGATGTCACCGACACAGTGATGTAACTTCTGGGTGACATCAGTATGTTGCGCAGTGTCATCCCCCCTCCCCCGGAATACCCCCCAAATCCCCCTGCCAGAGTGATGAAGGGACCTGGCAACCCTGCCTCCCATTAGAAATCTGTCTCCTTGAGCTGGTGTTGGCCCTAGTATGGGAAAAGATGCATCCAGTGGGGGTGCCTGGCTATTTTTCTACTAGAGCTCAGATGGGCAAAGACATCTACTGGGAAAACAATGCAAGTGGAAACAGTCAACAGTAGCATACATATACACACATCCCCCCTCTCATGACCATAACCACACTACGAACAAAAGCTTCTTAGCTGGGTTTTAAAATTTAAAAATGTGCCAGGAAACCTGATTACACATCTGCTGCTTATTAACTCATGGTTTGACCCTAAAAATCTACATCACACTGATTGCCTTCAGACTCTGTAAATAACAGAGATAATATTCTGACACACAGTAGTTTGATTATTATTTATGCAGGTCATAGAAGCGTTCTTTTTAATGTTTTGTAATGTCTAATAAAAATGCATGAAATGTAAGTAGCTGTTAAAACTAGAAGATATTAATCCCTGATACTGGGAGAGACCATTTTATACCTAGGGTAGTTAAAGAAACTGCCCCTGGGACTGAGATGTCCGGGGTATAATACTTCTAAGAAATCATCATGGGTTTTAGAAAAGCATATGAAAAGATGATATGAAAGCACTGCCTTCATTTTAAAGATTTTAAAAATCCTGTTTATACCACTGTAAACATTGTTTATACCTGTTGCTTGGCAGAATTGCTTTAGGGGACAATCTCATGCTAAGTGATGACTAATGTGTTGGTGATGACTGGCTGAGAAAGACATTTTCTTTAAAAGTATTGTTCAAAGCAGCTTGCGTAATCATAGCTAGCAGAGTACATGCCATCAAAAACTTGAAAACCGTGATTAAGAGACAGGATTTCTAGGGCTTCTTAACAATAGTGCCAAATCTTGAATATCAATAAATCTGCAGCACTTGAACACTGGGTTTTAGCTGTATAGTGCTTGTCTGCATTTGAACTTCTCATATTCACAGTTTGGTGCCGTACCACTAAATTGGAAGTACTTGAAATGCAGGAAGCAGCATGTGTTAACTTGGGTTAACTATTCAGTAGACTACAGTACCTAGATGCACCTTTGCCCAGAAGGGGAGAGGGACTCATTCTCCCCTTGCCTTACCTCCAGGCTTTCTAATGATGGAAGCTCTTGAGAGAGTTCAGGCATCTCACAGATCACTGCATAATCACACAGGTGACTGAAGTTCAGTGGGGAAGATGTGGTCCTTCTTCTTGGTCCAAAAATAAGAACATGGGGTTGGATCCAATGAAATGTAAATTGAATGAGTTCATAGGTCAGGTCTCTCCCCCTTCTTCCTTCCAGCTACAGTCCCCTGAATCTTCCAAAAAAGCTACTCCTGAGGGTCAGGGGACCCTCAAGAACAGAATGGGATGCTGCACAGGGGCTTCGTGGTGAAATTCCTTCTTATGCAAGCGCTTTCAAGAATAGTGCAAGAATTGTGCAGGAGTGGGAGCCTCGGTTTCTGCTCATTCCTCTTGTTGCTGCAACATCCCATTCTGTTCCTAACAGTGCCCTGACTCTCAGTAGCAGCTTTTCAGGACATTGTAGTTGGAAGGGAAGAGGCATTCTGTGAACTTTCCTGAGTAATTGGGTGCAGCCCATAGGCATTTTATAATCAACTTCAGAATTGCTATTTTTGTACATAGAATCCAGAAATCTGCATTGATGCAAGTACATGATAAGTGGAGCATTTGGTCACATTTCCATCTTTGTATGTAGGTCACTGTTATTTGAGTGACCTTAGGTAAACCCCGTACCATTTTTTTCTAAGCTGGTTGAGAACACTGTTTGGAAGAAAAATCAACAACTGTTGTTAGTCACAGAGGTTCAGTCATCTTCTGTATAAATTTGGTTTTGAAATCAGCTAAGTCACAGCTGTGGGGGGGGAAGAGATGTACTGGACAATTACTCCGAATTAATATAAAAGAATTACAAAAATTGTGAAATGTCTGTTATACTGCAGTTCAGCTTATGAAATGTTTCACATTTTTCTGTTTTAAAATCAGCTGCTGATTCCAAATGTGCAGAGGTTTTAGAGAGCAGAAATTCTTGCTATTTACTTCTCATTCCTTTCCAAAAACATGTTTCATAAAATTAACTATCAGGCAGCTGTTGTTCAGCTGTGGTGCTTTTATTTATTTTTTTAAAAATTGAATAACCCTACTTCTAAGTGTATACTATAGTGCCCTCAGATGGCTCCTTGCATTTCAGAATGCACGAAGATTTCTGTGTAAGAAACAGGGGAATGGTTACTAACCTTTTTTAGGATTAGAAGTCTGACCTGACTTTGTTAAGGTTCAGTCTTCAGAGAGAAGTCACAAGAGACAGAGACAAGGAGGCAGACACTGAGTCTGGGAGCATAGGTGCATAGCTCAGAAAGATAAGGGTTTATCAGCAGTCTTTTTAAACAGGAATCGTTGAGAAACAGAAAACATTGTTTTCCATTTATAATCAAAATGCTATACTGTTCTGGGAAGCATGTGTCAGAAAGAAGTGTGGTCTCCCAGCCTTTATGTAAATAAATGAGCCTCCTTAGGAGAGCAGTGTTTGTCACAAGGAACTGCTACAAAATGTGCAGCTCGTGATTAACTGAAGTTGTATGTTCATCATGACACAGCACTTATCCGGTATCATCTTTGGAAAGTGGTCAGAACTCTTTTTTGCTAACAGCCAGTTTTGCTAAATCATAGACACCTAGAGCCATGTCAGTTTTGTCAAGCATTTTCAGTAAATGGTCTTTTGTGTAGATTCAGGCGGGTAGCCGTGTTGGTCTGAAGCAGCAGAACAAAGGTTGAGTCCAGTGGCACCTTTAAGACCAACAAAGTTTTATTCAAGGTATAAGCTTTCATCTGCATGCTCACTTCTTCAGATAAAATGAAACGGAAGTTACCAGTCCATGCATATAGGTAGAGGGTAAGCAGTAAATTAGCATACAACCTAATGAAGATGTTTAACAGATTCGAGGACCAAACAGGAATAACAAGCTTAGTTTATATAGTTACCATTTATTTGGGTTTAATTCCAGGAAAGAACATAGTGAAGGAAATAAATATGTCAAAATTGGAGATTGATGGGCAGATGTATCCTTAAGTGTGGAATGCTGAGTGTAATTGAGACCCTGCCATTACTCTCCATCTGTCTCCTTTCAAGCATGGAAGAGACCTTACAGCCTCTTTTTTGAAGTGGGGTGATAAGCTGTATAGAGTTATCTCCCCTGATTCCAGACCAGAGGAATACATTCCAATCTACCATTAAAAATTACAGTACATTCTACTATACATTACACTACACTACATTACACTATTCTAATCTATTATTCCAAATAAGAAATAAAATAAAGAGGATGTATGTCCCTTCTGGGGGACTGGTGAGACTACAGATGTAAGGACTGAATGAAGTTAGCATATGTATGATGGGCATGAAGTGGCACACAAAGTGAAAGTTGTCATGATTCGTGCGGTGCTGCTTCATGCGTCATGAACAGACGCTTCAGGCAATTGCTTCATTTTGTTTTGGCGAGTCGTGGCACTTCGTGGACGCTTCGTTGTGAGAGGGACTCAGTTCAGGTGCAGCTGTCGGGTTCCTCCCCATGGAGTTGCACCCACCCACCCTTGGATGTTTTGGCCCCTCAAGATGTTTTGGCCACTCATGCACACAATGGGAAGGGTTGGCCACCAACCACCAGAATCCATGTCCCCAACAAGCAGGCAGTTGGGTGATTGGTGCCTCCTGTCCTGGGCAGAGGGGGAAGGGTTGGCTCACAGCTGTGATTTGCCCACTCCCCAGAGAGACCTTTCCTGGGGGCATCTGCTTTGGAGGCTGCAGCTCAGCCCCCAAACAGCCAATCCTCCCCAAAGTTGAAGAGTAGGTAGAGGGACATCCTGGGGAGGTGTGCTGTGAGTTGTGGATGTCTCTAGCTTATTAGAGGTTCATCCAACACAGTTTCCTGGGGCACCTGCTTTGGGGGACAGTAACTCGCCTTCCCTAAATCCAATCCTTGCCAAGGTTGGAGGGCAGGTAGAGGGGTATTGCAGGGCAGTGTGCTGCACGTTTGATGCCTCTAGATGGCAGGGGGTCCATTTCCTGGGGGCACATTATTTGGAGGGCTGTAATTCAGCCCTCCTAAATACAATCCTCACCAAACTTGGATGGCAGGTAGAGGGGACCCAGCTGCAGAATTGCTGCAAGTTTGGTGTCTCTAGCCCACCGGGGGGGGGAGGTGTTCTACTGCATCATAAATCCACAAATTATGAACTGGTTTGTGAAAATGAGAAGTTCGTGGTGATTCATGGTGTCCAGTGAACCACAAACCCCCACAAACCACCATTTCCCCAATTTGTGCCCATCCCTAGTAGAAAGATAAGAAATCAATATCCCTATTAAGCCCTGGGGATTCAGTTGTTCTGAGTGTTGTAATAACTTGCAACTCAGCAGTTTCCCAGTCTGTTCCTGAAGTTCCTTTGCGATAAAACAGCTACTTTGAGGTCACCCATTGAATGTCCTGAAAGGAGTTTGTTCTGGTCTTTTGTGTGAATTTAGTATAGCAAAATATATATATACTATATATATATATATATGCATATCCTGATAAAGCATGTGCATACTGATTTTTGGTATACAATTTTGTTTAACCTGTTTTTTTTAATAGAATACTCACATATTTTCCTGTGGAGGGAAATTATAAATATCCTTGGAGAAATCTAATGAGTGAATGGCATGTTTTGAATGTAACATTTCTGACACTCCAGACCATGGTTGGAGAACTGGGTGTGTTTGCAAACTTCCTTCCGTCCCGTCCCCCCCCCAGCTTGGATTTATTTGGTTCTCAGCAAACCATAATTTGCTATTACATAAACACTACACAAATTGCAGTTGCAAATGCCAGTTTGCCTAGAAACCAGAAAGCTATGATTTGTGCAGATTTGCATGTAATAGCTCAATTAGGGCTTTGTAACAAAGAAGGGAAGGAAGAAAAACCTGTTTTGGTGGATCCAGAACCTTATGTCTGAACTATGCCAATGTAGTCACCAGGTGATTAAAAATTACTAATTAGAGAAAATAGTGGTTTCACAACCTTTATAGTATAAACATTAAAGTTTCTATGTTCTTGTTGAAATCAGAAGACTGCCTGAAGCTTAGTATCAAAATCAGCAACCCATGCTCATTTAGTTTTCTTTCAGCATTTCAAAATTTGAAGAACGATGCTGCTTCCTTTATGTGCTGCACAACTCAGATGACTTCCAAATCTATTTCTGTACAGAGCACCACTGCAAAAAGTATGTGTTCAGCAAAATGTTTTTTTACTGAGAATGTGATATGAAATTAAGCACAGTGTTGGTTTCTTTCTCCAACCTATTTAGAGTGAAATCAGGTGTATGCATTTCACATCCTTAAAATGACCTAGAACCATTTCGAAGGAGGCATCCATATAAAATAGTTTTTGAAAATGTGCCATCAACACACATGAAGGTGGTCCTGTGAAGTGTAGCTGCTTAGCAATCCAGCCTAAGTTTGTGGGATCATCTTTGAACAAGTTGTGTTCAGCCTATGCCTGTGGGTTATGTGAATGCTGTTATGCAATTCATTTCCAAAACTAAAGCAAGGATAAAAAAGGATTTGTTGTCATAGTATAGATCATCTTTAGAATAAATTTGCACCCACAGATAGGTTAGCAGTAAAAATATATCTTATTAAGGCAGCTTGTTAATGGGAATGTTAACACATTCTTTTTAAGTGAAGTGCATTTCTACATATTACACAGAAGGAAGTGGTAGAATTTGGGGCTATCCCAATCCAAGCTTCAGACAGAAGACCATGTTTTTAATGCCCCCATTCAAAAACCTAATTCCATATAATAGGGTAATGCACCAAAGAAAGCTCACTAAATTTTTCTCTCTGTGTTGCAAGTTTTTCACATGGAAAAGCACTCCAAAATGATCCTCTGCATGTGCATTCATGCTTGTCTGAAATGCCACAGACCAGAATTGGTCTTTTTCATTTATCATTTCATTTGGTGCAATGTTTACAATGGGTTTTAAATGATAACTAGAACACTCAAAGATAAAAATTATTCACAATTTCAAAAAAGAACAGCAGAGGAAGCCAAGCTGTGCTTGCCATTTAGCTGATTAGCATTTGTATGTTTCAAGTAAATGCAGGAAGTTGAGTTTAAAGAGATGTTTGATACATCTTACAAATTGCCCCTTCTAAATTTCGCTTTGGATTTTGGGGCTCAGAATTACCTGGTTTGCAGAGCAGCATCAATGTGTTAGCAATCTGCAATTATTCCTTTTGTTGTTGTTTCTAAAATTCTAAATGAACATGTACAGTTTGCCAAATTTTGATTCACATTTGATTCACATATGAGCATTAATTCCACCACATGCAAAATAAAATCTTGATGTAATCTTTTGTTTCAGGATTACTTTTTGCACTGTGATTTATTAATGCATTCATTTTAGTCATAATACAGAAAGGGAATCTTGATGCAGTAGTTCGATCACATGAAGACTGGGAAGGGGTGTGGTGTTTCAATGTACATATGTGCTATAGAACATTAGCAACTTGGAAAGGAGATAGAGACAAAAACTGTGGTCATGTACAAATACTCCAAACGAAATCAGAAGATGGCTAGAATGGAGACTGGTGAAGAAACCATCCACAGAACAACAACTAAGCAGGATATGGGATGACAGCTCATTTTGGTTACTTAGCTAGGATATAACTCAGAGCAGAGGTTTGTTCTTGGCAGTACAGTCTTGTTAAATTACATACATTCTTGAATAACGTGTGTCAGAACAAGAATTCTTTTGTTGATTACAGAGGAAAATAAAATAAACGTAGTTAACCAGTCATAAGCAGGTAACAAAGACACCATGTTTTATTCCATTGTAACATTATCTTATGCTTTTCTGTGAATTGTTTACAGATTTTTTGAAATGGTTAACAGTATTACTGAAGAGATAGGGAAAAACACAGAGGAAGGAGAATGTGATGGAGACTCCCTGGAGGTAAGAGCCAGGCTTGTATTCTTTCTATCCTTTGGGGAATTGAGCTCTCAAGGGAATTTTTCAAGTTAATCCTTCAAATATTATGATTAACAAGAAAAAGAGCAGAGTGCTTTCATAGAAATTCTCTTGTGTTTCAGAATGAAATGTATGTGTTTCTTAACTGGATTATTAGCACAATTAGCATTAGTTATTTTGAATAAATAAAGCAAACAGAGCGCCTATCTCTTTCATCTTAAGAATGTCATTTAAAGTTCTGGAATATCTGAGGAGTTGTTAATACGCCAGACAAACTGCTCAGATATTCCAGAAACAAGTAATGCAGTTTTTCTCAAGCTTCACCTTCCTAAGCTTTATAGTTATCATTTACATACACTGATGCACACACAAAAAACCTATGAACTGTAGCCCTTCTACCCCTTCCCATCCTACATTCCTCTTACACTGTTTTATATTGCAGCACAGCTTAGCCATGACTTACCATTTGCAAGACCTGTTAATGATAGGAAGTTTTGGAGGTCATTAATCCAGAGGTTCACCCAGGGCCGGCCCGAGGTGTTCCTGCGGCCTAGGTGAGCACAGATGCCAACCTCCCGGCGGGGCCTGGATACCTGCCTGGGTGCGTAGTGAGAGGTGCCAGCACTTCCTCAGGGCTCGATGTCATGCCGACTCCACGCCACCCCGTGTGAGCCAGCTCAGCGGCGCGCCCCACATGAACCAGCTCGGCGGATGAAGAGAGGTCTCCATGCCGGCACTTCCCAGTCCCGGCTCACTCCCCACCCTCGGTGGCTACTCTGGGGCTTGGCGAGGCACGGCTCGGGCGGCTGCTGTCCCTAACAAAGGGATCCTCCTCCTCAGTGGCGGCAGGAGCGCCGAGCAGGGCTGCTGCGGAGGGCAGCCAGAGGCAGCAGGCCGGGGGCGTGGGCTCCGCTGGCCATGGCTCAGCCCCAGCCGTGCAGCTCAGAGGGAAGGGAAAGGCCGGAAGGGGGAAGAGAAGGCCGTGTGGCTCAGCCCCGGCCAGGCAGGGAGGCAGTGGTGGCGTCTGCAGCGGTGTCTTGGACCTGCGGGCAGTGGGGCAAAGTGGGGTGGGGAGGGCTCCAAAGGGCGGCTGCTCCTCTGTGGCGGGTGGCGGTGGCAGGGCCCTCAGAGCTGATCTTTTGGCAGGGTGGGGGGCAGACTGTGGAGTGCCTCCCTCCTCCCCGGGCGCCTGGTCACTCACACCGGGGTGGCGGGGGCGGCTCTGGCAGGCCCGGGCGGGCAGTGGCAGCAGGGCCCTCGGGTGGCTCAGTCCGGCGCCCCCATGATGGCCCCGTGCTCTAGGCGAGAGACTAGCTCACCTAGTGAGCGGGTCGGCCCTGGGTTCACCATAAGTTGGAACTGGAAGTGACATGATGGCAAATAACACACACAGCTCTGCACACTATGATTCACTTTTGTTTCTACACATGGCCACTCTCCATTTAATTTCCAACCTGAGGCAATGGGTCTTCAGCCATTAAGAAGTTGCAGCTCTGCTTTTCTCTTGAAGAAGTGTCAGCGGTGTCATACCACAACAAACTGTGGGAAAAACTTCTGCCATGATAGTTTATAGGTCATTGCAGATAAGGCACAAAAACCTCTTGGTGAACAAAATATTGAATTAATGGATGAAATCCTCCATGTCATTTGAGAGAGAGAGAGAGAGAGAGAGAGAGATCATTCAACATGTTTTTATATAATCTCAATGTCTAGAATCCAGGAGTTGTCACTTGGCAAATTGCATATCCTATAACTACTATTGGAGTCTCTCATATCTTGGATTTCATATACACTGGCTCTACTTTTTATAAATATTTTTATTATTTTCCAAACAAAAAAGAAAAGTGCATAAACCTTCCACCATATATTCTATACAACAACTCTTTTGAAGGATTATACAGTAGTTTTTTACTAATCCATATGTTCATTTCTAATCTATCTTTAACTAAACCTTAATAACTCCTATAAACCGTTTCTGGCCAACTATTATCAATTACCTTTGCAACTCGCATCTATTACAGTACCCTATTCCAAAGTATATAAATTACTACTCAGCAATACATCAGCATGTTTTCTTATCTGCGAATATCCCCCCCAAAAAAATAGAACAAAAAAATAACATAGAACTATTCTTAGAACAAAAAAAAGTGTTATATGCATATATATTAGTACCTTACCGTTCCTTAATCCCATTACACATTCCAAATCAACATCCTTTTCACCTATATATAAATTCTCTTCTTTTCCATTTTTAAGTTTAACTTTGTACCATGTATTTTTAACTTTACCATATTTCTAATATGTTATTTACTATTAGGATTATATCACAATTTCCATTGGCCTCTATGGTATGACCAAATTTCCTGTCCATCCTTTAACAATTAAAGTAAACGTTTGTACCTTGTACTTTACCCATTTTCAAAATATAATATTTGCTATTAAAAAATTTAACCACATAGTCCTTATCTATAGAGGGCAAAGAGCAAAAAACAAAAAAACCACAAGAAATACAGTCTATACCCAATTAACTCTTAAGAGACAATTAAAATATAAACCAAACTTCATTTCACTTATACATATATATCCCTTCTGATCAGACTTTAATATTTATTTTATATACCCAATTAAGTCTTAACAGATAGTTAAAATATAAACCAAACTTCATTTCACTTATACCTATATATCCCTTCTGATCAGACTTTAATATTTATTTTATATACCCAATTAAGTCTTAAGAGATAGTTAAAATATAAACCAAACTTCATTTCACTTATACCTATATATCCCTTCTGATCAGACTTAAATGTTTATTTTATATCCTATAATCTTGACTTTACCCTCTTTCAAAAAGAAAATTAAAAAAGAAAAAGAAAATTTATTATTATTGATCAATATAACAGCATATTTTCTTATCTAATCAGTTTTTTAAAAAATTCGTTTTAATCAGCTGTTAATTTCAT